GGACACTAGGGCACTGCCCCATCCGCCCCACTCCACCCACCAAAAAATATATATATGCATATATATAAAAAGATATATGCATATATATATTTTTTAATTCAATTTTAATTTAACATGTAAAATATTTTTGAAATATATATCTTTTAGATGAGCAAGATAAATATTTAATCTTTAATGACTAGAAAAGCGTCATATTGATTGACAATGATTTTTCTTCGGATTTGTGACGTATTTCCGGGCTTGGGGGCAAAAATCTTTGCCCATTGATTCACGTTAAAAGTTGTCCATGCGCAGTAGCTCCTCTGCAATACAAAGTGAAATGGCACAAGAACCATCCATTTCCAGGACCTGGTTTAGCAAGGCTTGGCTAACTGCATTAAACAAGGCTTTCCTTGCCTCATTTTTTAAATGTCAGGATCTGACCCAGCATGGATAGAGACAGGCAGGACTGATTTAAAGCAAAAGGCAAAGAAAATTTAACAATCTGGGATTCACATTGAAAATAATATAATATATTTTACTTTTTCTAGATGTTTGTTAATTTGCATAGTTGCTCTTAAATAAACACATTCTCAGAAAATAAAGTTTATATATATTAAAAAATATATAAAGCTGACCAATAACTTCTCCATTATTAAACTGGTACATTATTATTTTTTGTTTTAGGTTTGTGACACAATATTGGACCATGCAAAACACAGAAGAAGAACACGCAAGAAACATCCTTTTCCAGGACCTGGTTTAAAGAAGGCTTGGATAACTGCATGTAGTGAGGCTAATGCTTTAGTCTGCTTTAGTCTGGACATTCCTTTCAAATGTAAGGATCTGACCCAGCATGGATAAAGACAGGTAGGACTGATTTAAAGCACTTTTTAGAAAAGGCAAAGAAGAATTAACAATCTGGGATTCACATTGAAAATACTATAATATAGAGTACTTTTTCTAGATGTTTTTTAATTGACATAGTTGCTCTTAAATAAACACATTCCCAGAAAATAAATATATATTTTTATATATTCAAAAAATATAAAGCTGACTAATAATCCATTATTAAACTGGTAAATTTTTTTAGGTGTGTGATACAATACTGGGCCATGCAAAACACAGATTTACCTTCACAAAACCCCAGAAGGGCAAGATTTATGTACAAAAAGTAAACTTGTACAAGAAATTATATTTTTTGTTTTTTTATAACGTTTTTTGTTGTTGGCATTCATATAAATATACTGGTGTGATCAGTTAGTATAAGTTTGATTGTTTTTTGGTATATGTCTGTATATGTACATGTATGCGGCACACATAAAGTCAAGAACAAGGTTTTAAAAAGGTGAAGTTGAATCATTACATATTAAATATGAAAAGCAAACTTTGATTTTTAATTAAGTTGGTTTACGATCCTTTGACAATAACTATCCTCTGGAAGTACTTTTCTTCCCCACAGGTGACACTGGTCATAAGCAGGAACATTTGGGGAACAGTTTGAGGTAAATACACCTCAGCTTAAGTGACAGAACAGTGAATGAGTTCGGACATTGTCTTAATTTTTTTATCAGCATTTCTCAAATTAACTTTCCTTTTTTGACGTTTCTTTTGAACAATAAAGTCAGCGGGAAAAGCGCCACAAATCTGCCTCATAATCTCGATTTTTTACAAAGGAATTTGCCTGAGGCCACAAGCAGCCCGGAGGCTGCTGAAAGAGGAAAATAGAATGACTGTGGAAAGTAAAAGGCTCTAAAAATATAAATGACTTGTCTGCATGTCTGGTGTGTGTGTTGGAAAGTGAAACCACTAGGTTGCTTCCACGTCACCCATTTCCACCAGGAGAAAGCAGAGCTTTGAGTGGTTTAGCATCGGCCTGCGCAGACTTCCACAGCAAACCCCTTAAACACACGGACTAAGAAAAGGAGCCCGTATTTAAAACCCCTGAATTACATTTAATTGTAGAAAAGCCTGGCCAACTCCAGACGAGTGGTTGGGGATGCAAGCTGAGCCTGCATTGTGCGGAGCTCGCTTCCTGCAGGGCTGGAGCACAGGGAATGACCACCTAAAGCAGGAAAAGTAGCAAAGCAGCAACAGAGCGAAAATCACTGTCTGTAGATAATGAATGAAGGGGTGAAAAAAAAAGAGACTGAGCGTGGGAGGGCTGAATAATGAGCAGGAGGTGGAGGGGAAGAAAAGCCTCCTTCCATCCCGTCCTCCTTGTCTTCTGGTGCAGGGTTATTTTTAGCTTCAATATGGAGCAACACAGCGCTGTAAAGACAATCATTTCTGCAGCTGCGCTGTCATTGCTCACTGCTACATCTCTGTCAAAACAAAAGAGACTCACTTATGCAAACACTTAAGCCCACAACCGTTCATACAGTGAAGCACTAGGATTGCAAACACTGGCATCAGTGTAAGAAACAGCATGAATGATTTGTTTAAGGTGACAATCACACAGATATTCATATTATAGCATCCAGTTAGTACAGCTGTCAGCTCTGGAAACTTAACTTGAAGACAATGATCCTCCCCCTACACTGTATAGCCAGTGAAAAAAAAACCAAAGCCCTTCTTAGATTGCAGAACGCACACTGGGTTTTCACTTGGCACCTACTTTACAAGGTCTGGGTATCTCACTTTAAAGTGTCTCATTTTTCACACGAGTGCACAGGAAGAAGACAAAAAAAAAAACACTCTTCTCATCTCTTGTGAGATGCCACAGTGTGTGAGTGTGTCACATTAAATCAGCTGGAATAAACTAAACACACACGTATTTCCCAGCTGACTTTTACCACTGCATCACATCTGATTCAAAAGCTTCTCTGGAAGAATTTAAATGATTATAGACTTTTCTGCGGTTATTGATGTGTATGGAGAGAATTTTGTTCCTTTATTGTTTCAAGCAAAGAACATATTTTGTAAATCAAAATTTGAAAAAAAGACAACACAAACATTTTTGTAGATTGCTATTTGGACTAAAACACATCGAAAAAAGAAACTTTGAAAAAGCTATTAATCAAATAAAGGTTTTGAGAGTAACTTTGCTGTTTTATCTAAATTATTATTATTTTTTTTAATTGCTCTTTTTTAAATTGAGTTTTACTCATTACCTTTTTCAAATTCTGTTTTTAGATCACATATTTTTCACCTCAGTGGGTGTGCTTTCTTTTGAAGGGAGGAGCAAGGATACATTTCTATTGGTCTGCAATAATGTCAACAATTGTATTAAATGTGAAGAGAATATGATCTGTTAAAAGCCATTTGAGAAGAATGCAATTCATAAAACTTAATCTGTAAAAGAAAAAAAGCTGAAAAAATAAGATTTGAAAGAATATAAAGGAATTAATAATACTATGAGAACAATATCTAAGAAAAGAGCAAAGTTACTGTTAAAAACATTTTGTGATTATGAAATGTTCTAAATTTATATTTCTGTGTTGATTATTTTACAAAATTTTATGTACAAAATAAGTTATCTGGTTGCATAAATAATGGAACAAAATTTACTCCATACATGTCGTCAGCTATCACTCTGCAAACAGTTCAGAAAGATATGGTTTTAGTGATTTAACGTGACCTTATTTGTTTCCACGTGTAATCTGAGCTGCAACCCTGTAACATCTCTGTGATCAATAGTGCCTCAGACTCAGTATGTCCTCATTATGGTGAAGCAGGGATCATTCACAGAAAGGTAAGAGCTCCATGATATAAAGACAGACCAATTTGCAGGTTTGCAGGCTAAAAGCATACTTATCTCCTTCAACCAGCTCACTCTGATTCTTACAATTCTAATAAAATCAATCTTGTTTGCTAAATGACCAAAAATTACATGTAGAGGTCCAAACAGACATATATATGTTATAATTGCTGAATATGTAGTTACTTTACAACACATTGTTTCTATAAATAGGAACACATTGCTATAGAGAACATGGAGAATTTTTAAGGTGAAGACTACCCAAGGAAGTAACTATTGCTCAGACATAAGCTTTACAAAGTAAGATAGTGTTAAAGAAGTGAAGAATTAGCCAATTTATTTTGGGTATTCTTTTCTTAAGTCTATTTTTAAAGGCATCTTTCAGCTATGCTTTTTTTTTTGTGTGTGAATGTTTTCAACTTCTTCAACTAATGAATCTGTCAGTTAACAGTGCCTTGGAAATGCCTAAATATAAGATATATGAAAGAGACTTCCCCACCAATGCCTTTGAGCATGACCATTTGTATGGAGGACCAACTCTGCCATATTTAAAAATAAGTGACCATCTAAGACACAACCCCTTCCTTATTTGCATAATGAGGCAGAAAGGCATACACAAATGCAAAAACGACAGGCAGAAATAAATAGGGTAAAAAAAAATACAAAGGAAGAATAAAACAGACAAAAATATTATCCATGCACATAAATAAATACATAAAAAAATAAGTAATAAATAAATAAAGTTCAAGATTATAAAGGACAATAAATAAATAAGGTAATTATTACGAAGGCGAATAAATAAAGAAGCTAATTAAAAGAGATATATACATTTATGTATCACTGTATAATTTATTTCTACCTACATTTTTTTGTTTATTGTATTTTTGGGGGCTTATTTATTTATTGAGCATTTATTTATTTATTTCTGAGTTGATCCTCCATACAATTCGACAAATGATCACTAGATTTAATGTTACTCATTGCTATTTTGGCTGGAAGAAACTAGCGCTACAGGACCTAGCATTGGGGATACAAAACACAGGGATATCACAATATTTTATTCAAATGAATTGAAACTAAACAGTTTACGGTATTTTTTTTTAACTGTTTTGTATCTATATTGAAATAAATATTTATCAAGTCTATTGTCACATTGAATGTTGGATCCTCAGGTGGGATTGCTTTTCTTTACCCTTTAACTATAACCTCCTAAAAACACACAAAATATGACTCAGAATTAAAGATTTTCTCCCTCTTTCGATACATATGGCTGTAACCAGCTGGCAGTTAAATTTGTTTTATTTGGAAACAGTGATCTTACCGGTGATCAGCTCTCGAACCTCCATGTCATTGGTCTTTCTCAGCAGACGGATAAGGGCTGGAATACCATCACAGTTCTTGATGGCCACTTTGTTCTCGTTGTCCTTGCCGTAGGAGATGTTCCGAAGCGCTCCACAGGCTTTGCGGTGAACCTCGGATTTGGGGTGGTCCAAAAGCCCTACCAGAACAGGAATCCCCTTCAGCTGGCGAACATCCTTCTTTATCTTGTCGTTCTCATAGCACAGGTGCTGCAGATAGGCAGCGGCGTTGGACTTCACCGGGTCAATAGGGTGACCCAGCATGGCAATGACCTCGGGGAGATCGGGGTCCCTCCAACGTGGGTCCTTGCGGATGCTGTCGATGGAAGGGGAACGTCTGCCAGCCATTCGGTCCAGACTGGCCATGCTTCCTCTCTCAGGCTGAGCAAGCGGTGCTGAATACATACCATGGATGTAAGGGTGGCGCTCATCAATCAGCTCTGCCTCAATGGGGTCATCTGGGTACCCTCTGCAAGATAAGAGGAGAGAGAAACGGTCAAGACCTATTAGATGAAAGAGGTAAATGGAGGGTGACTTAGATTTTTCTATAAGAAAAGCCAAATGAGGTGAGAATCAGTGACTAATGAGGGGAGAAGGTAGAGGAGAGGACAAGGTGATCTGATGTTCAGATCTGCTGTCATCAAGTTTGTCAGCAGGACTCTGACAGCGGCTCTTTGCAATAAGTGAAATGATTTGCAGCATTCTGCTTCTACTCCCTGTCAGGTAGGAGTAACAAACATGTCAGACTTCAACAAACACAGAGTTAAGGAGAAAGCAACTAGAAGACAGAAGACGATTTCTAACCAACAGAGACACTCAACAAAAAATTCTTGTGGTTTGATGTAGAGAGCTGTGAAGTCTTTTTTTTTTATCTTTGAAAAAAAGAAATGATATTTCTTCGCGTGAGGGGAATAGAAAAAAGCCAAGCAGTGCCCCTCCCCCAGGGACGACCAGGAGCCCCTACAGTGTCTGCGGGGCTCCCTTTGCTCAAAGCGCCTAACACTACCATGCAGCTGCTGAAATGTTAATGAGCAACACTCTGGGATTTCTCTGCTAGCATTACCCTCATTAGCATTACTGCTATTAGTGTTGGGGACTTAAACACTACTGGCTCTAACAGTTTTTTGTGACCAAATTAAGGAGCAAAGTGGTCCGCCGAGGGAGGGGTTCCCTTCAATGATCTGCCACTTCTAAAGTCTCTTAGAGTCTATTCTCTACGGTTCTTTACTCCAAAGACTCATGAATACTTTATAGGAACATGGGTGAATATGCAGGCGCTCCCCCCCCCCCACGACCCATCCCTCAGTTCTAAACTTGTTTATCCTCATTACGTAATCCAGATGGTCTCCTCCTGCCATGTTTTCTGGTGGTTTGTGGCAAGAAATTTCACATGGAGCTCAACATTTAATGAGCTTTAATAATAATGATGTACTTTCACAGCCTCTTCACAACATTTAGAGAAAACTGAGAGGGGATCTCATAATGCCGTCTGCTTTGGCTCTTGTTTATCCTCCCCTTTAATAAAGCCATGCAGTAACATATTGGCTGTTATGGCATTTACTTTACTTTGCGCATCTCGGAGTCACAGAAATCAATACGAGATGAGCTAAAAGATAAACTCCTTCCAGAACAATGTGTCAAAATCCTAAATCCCCTTTGTGCTGGAAGATGAAGAGAGATAGGGTGGCTTATGAAAGTACAGAAGCATAGCCGTTTTTTTTTTTACTCTGATGTACAATGTTTGAACAGAGTCCAAGTCTCACCAATAACATCCTTTAAAATATTAGCATCCCTGTTTTCTACACTTTTATCACATTGCCTCAAACTACATTGCTATTCTCATTTGACTCAAGCACTTTCTTCAATAGCTAAATTCTTAACAGCTTGTTGTGCTGTTAATAGATTTGCAATAGAACTTTGTATCCATAAAGCTGACATTATACAGAAACAATACAGATAAGACTATGTGCCTTCAAGTGGCCTGTTTATTGGTGTTTTCTAATTATATTTTGTATTGATTTTTGTTTGCTTTCAATGAATGTTTGAAATATATTAAAAGATAAAAGGACAGAAAAAAATTATCAGAAGGGTTTCTACTGAGACAAAATGTTAAGTTGATGAATATGAACTATTTAAAAAAACAAGTCAGTTAAACAGATGGGATAACACAGTAGGGATGCTGTAAAAAATGTGTGCAAATGCTTAATCTTCTTCCACTTTTGTGGATAAATACATAACTTTGAAGAAAACACCATCAGACATAATCTAAACAGATCGGGGACTCTGAACTCTAATTGTAGGAAGGCTTTATTTCTTGGCTTTGTTGAACAAGATTGCGCCCACAGTGTTGAGGGAGGGACAAATCAAGATTGTGATTACAGATCCTCATCTGGAGAGGGACTGGTGCTCTGAGGTTTTGGCAAAAACACTGAGTTACATGATAGGCTGCATGCAGCGCACGGGAAAATATTGCATGTGTGCGTATGGGCGCTGGTGGTTACTAAATGCATGCATGCATACACAAAGATGTAAACAAGCTCACCACTCAAGCCATCACCCAGATTTCTTTTCCCGCTACAGAATATTGGACATGACAAGGCAAAGGGAGGCAGGAACAACCCGCCGAAGGAAGAGCACGGCTCCCGATTTCAGGATCATTGCCATGTCGCAGACCCGCATATATAAACAGCCACGGCTGTCACTTTAGTATCTCCATTTTTCTCTCATTATGCCCCACACTGGGTTTTTTCTCCCACTTTGACACACAGACACATCCGCACACAGATAATATGTACAGTTGTGCAGTTCGAGGCTCATTTAGATCTGGGGTCGATGCGGCGGGGCTCTTGGTAAAGCAGGCGTCACGAGGCTGAGTGACGGGAATGTCAGGATTTGCATTTATATTGGCGGCATTGTGTGGACAGGGATGGCTGTATTCAAGCGGATGTGAAAAGGCCCCTCTGCTGCCAAATAAAATACTCAGAGCCTGATTACGGCAGATCACCCTCTCCGTGTTAATCAAGCTGCTTAATGTCCGGCCTATTTGGGCTCATCCAGGCGTTTATTCAGGGATGCATGGCTGCGTTTATTTTTTGTCTATGGATAAGAGTGCATCTATTAAAAGACATTTACACATCCTCGCCTTTCTTTCCTTTCTTCATCTTCTCTCAATGATTTTCATCAGCTGCTGGTTGAAGCCGTATGCTCCTCTGCAGACCTATCAAAGAAGATAAACTAAAAAGAACTACACAGTCTGAAGATGTGTGCTCCTCTTACACACACACCCTCTCTGTTATATATATATATGACATTAATCTATGGTGAATAAATTCCAAACAGTGAATTATTTTGTGAAGATGAAAAAAAAAAAACAGTAGAAAGAGTCGTGATATTCCTCAACTCTCCCTCATTTTCATTACTTCAAAGTAAGGTGTCAGGGTTTCATAGAAAATTTAGTGGAAATGTCTGAGAGAAACCTCACATATATCAGATGGGAACTGACTAGAAATATAAAGAAAGCATTATAGAGTATTCACACCCTTGAAGTAGCAAACTATGTTGTGTTTTGATGGGAGTTTTTTGCCATAGATCAGCAGTAGAGCATGGTTGTGTTGTGGAAGGGGAGCGATGCGGGTCTGTTTTTCAAAATACAAATCTGAAAGAAAATCCGACATGTCCTCACCTTTTTTCATTTATAGTCAATGAAGACCTCTCCATTCACCAGAGTTTTTGCAGATCCAAAACTAAACAAGGAGAGGCAGCTTTTTACTTTCTATGCTCCTCAACTGAGAAACATTTTCCCTGAAACCTTGAGATGAGCAGAAAACATTGGCTCCTTCAAATGGGAACTGAAGATATTTTTGTTTTCTGCAGCATTTTATCAAAGAGTCTCAATAATGAACTGATTGTTCATAAAGTGAATGAAGAATGATATAAACCATAACTAGCCTAGCCTTGATCTGATCCTGCTGGATGGACATCCTGCCTTCATTCAGCCTAACATTTATATTTATTTAAGGAATGTAAACAAAATAAACTTACAGTTGATTGTTGATTTTTTTTCTCCATTTAATTAACTGATAAGATTCGCTTAAAATAAGTTTATTTCCGTGTTATAATGTGACTGCTGTTCACTGGAGCCATTGTTCATTCTTAAGGAGCCTCACTGAACGGAAAGAGGCATGCTAGAGCAGAAAAATGGATCAATCCAGTGTAAGTGTGTAACTTTGAAATGAAAGTTGGTGGATACTCGGGTGGGGGCTGATGGACCTACAGTTAGTCAACCCGAAAGCTTTAATTAGGTTTTAGTATTTTCCAAAAATGACCTCAAACATATTATTTGAATGGTTTGCTATTGTAACCATAATGCACTGATATTTATATCTATAGATAGTTTGACAGATGCCTTTAAGTGCATTATTTATACAGGGCCCACAAACAATGTATAAAAAAAAATTTAAAACAAGAGCCGATTCCAGTGCTGAAATCGATATTTCATATATCCTTAGAATATAATTTCAATCCATGCATCCAGAAAAATATGGATGGATTGATGGAAGGTTTCCCTTCCAGTGATTATCCTCCTTTACAAGAAGAAAATTCTAATTTAGAAAATTGTCCTACATATCGTGGACAGCCAAAGTCTTTGTATTGAAAGTTATATTTCAAAAATCATTTATACACTGACTTTTACTCTATTATTTGTGCTTTAATTCTTGCAGGCTTCTTATAATTTCAGTTTAAGTCTGTGACATGGGAGTCATGGCTGTCTCTGGGCTGATATAGCTATTTCTGAGTTTTGCTGAATGACAAAAGACAAAAATATATAATGCATTTAATTATAGCATAGCATATTTTTTCTTTTAAACTTTCTGATAAACTTGGAGATATGTTTTATTGCATGTTGCATATCCCATTAAATCTTTTTCACCTTTAAATGTGCAGCTCTCCTTGCTTGTGTGTCGACTGAAAATCAGATATTGTCTCAAAGCAACAGATCAGATGATGTTACACCGAAAGGCGGGACTCGGGTGCAGCGCAAGAGAGGAAAAAAACACTGATGGGCGAGGAATAGTATTGGTGGGGACTGTTTCCGCTCCAACTGGAACATCTCCAGTTGGAGCGGCAACAACTGTAGCATACGCACTGGAGATGGGAAGGACTATTATGTTTTAACTCACTTCATGGAGTTTTAACTTTTTGCGCTGTGAGCAACCACACCCACCAATAGAAAACACTGCTAACAGCACCGCCTCTCCCACTCTCTACACTAAAAACAGCAATATCACTGGTGGCATCAACTTCCTTGAAAAAAGGTGGATAATAGTCTGACAGTATGTCAGAGCGACATACCCTGTGTGTTAATGATTGTTTAACATCTCTGTTCATTAGAAATCAAAAGTGTTTCACATATTTTATTAATCTTTTTTTTTCTTTGACCTATCAGGTTTGGTTTTTTAATATCTTATA